ACCTCAGAACCAGGAAGGTGAGGCTCACTGAGCCATTTGTCTCCCTGCCCTTCAATTACTCCCACATGTGTTTATCACCCAGGTTGGCACAATAAACGTTAGCTATCTCAGTTGGGAAGAAAAATCAGGCAGGCACTAAACACCTATAAGGACCCTTTAATTGGGCATGCTCCAAGCCCCGCAAGCCAGGTGGGCAGTACACTTGGGTGGCCCAAACTAGGTCCAGGTGTGCTTAAGTCCGCCAATGGGGTCAACCAGTACCTTCAACCATGCCTCCCAGCCAGAGGCTTTAAATATGGTAGCAGCTGAGACAGGCGGCCCCTTGGGCACGGTTTTGGTCTTCTGCCCTCTCCCCTTTGGACCCTGCCTTGGTCTCTCTGGCCTCAGGTCCCCACATGTGGGTGCACAGTGCCCCCATAAGGTTGCCCATGCTCCGTGGTGAACCCCAGCGCGGCGCATGCTCAAGGTTTGCACACTTCCCTGAAATAGCGTGTACTCTTTTTGAGGCTGTAAAACCTGAAACTTCTTCTGTCCTTTATAAAAACCCACCTGGATCACAACCCAGGCTTCGGGGTGAATTCTTTGTCTCGGGAAGCCCAGAACCGAGCTATTTACCACCTGAGACGTCTAACAGCGTCAGGGGCACAGACACTCAAACCATGGCAAAGCACAGCCTCAAAGCCACAAACACAACCACCCTTCAGTGATGTACACACACACACACACACACACATGCACGCACGCATGCACAGGCAGACGCCCACACCCAGTCACAGGCCACTCTCAGACCAGACACAGACACCCTTTACACACACACACACACACACACACACTCGTATACACCTTCACACTAGACACACACACACACCACCCCAGCACCCGCCCAGCACTCCTCACAAGACTCCTCCTCCCTCCTCGCTGCCCAGAATTCGGGCATCCAGCCAGGTTACTTACTTCAGGAAGTAGGGGGCGCTATTTTTAGATACAATTAACCTCTTGCCCACTTCGCTTCCTCCCTGGTGGCCTGGCCAGTTGGTTTAATTAAAGAGTATGAAGTCAGAGGTATTTCTAGTGGCTGAGAAAAAAATG